TATTTGTCTTTCTACAGATTAATTTGCCTTATCCTTTTGGATTTGCATACACTAATTATGCACTCTAACTGTAGCCCGTGTCTTGGTTCCAAAGTATAATGGGACAAAACCTATTCATTTTACCATCTCATTTTTAATACAGAAAAAATTTTTTTTTTTTAACAATCCTCAATACCAGAACCATAATCCTAGTGGTTCTCAAAACATAGATCTTTGTGAGTCTGAAAAATATGGTAGACTAGAGAACTTGTTATAGCCTGGGCCATTTTTCTTACCACAGCTATATCAAGTTGTATGAATTAAAGGTTGTAATTCAGGATGATTTTTAGCAGTCTGAATGCTTTGGGTGTGTTTATTTACTGGATCAACTTCAAGACTTAAATCAGAATGTACAGGTTTTTACGTAGATGCCTCTGAAGAACCTTCTCATATATGTGTAAGAGAACAGTGGGTTCCAGTTCTCAGAGTGCTTGTCAGACTTTTCATTCTGAAGGGTTGGGTTCAAGATGGGATATGTTTCTTCATGGAGAAATACTTTAAGAGGAGAAATATTAATCAGATGATTATGAAAATACTATGTCCTGAGAATGGAGTTCAGTCTGCAAATTATCAGTGATACCAGATTTTATAAGCATAAATCATTAGTCATTATCAATGTTACAGTTAAGCTGATCATTAAACTCTTATGGTCCATTAATAAGTTAAAAGTGGAATTGAAATTGGGAGTTAAGTGCATGACCAGACAGTGAAAATGTCTTTGTTCTTTAAGCTTTGCCTTTTGAAATATGTGGCTACTTTATAATCTCGGTCTCATTGAATTTTTAAACTTTGTTATTCACAATTCTGAATAAGTATTCTAAATTGAATATATTTGTGATTGTGTTTCCACTTCGTGAATTTTTGAGTTAGTGGCATGCATCCTTTATCCCTAAACCATTTTCCTCCCCTTAGAGCATGTTGTGTCCTGAATGTTTGCATCACACCCTTCTTTCCTGATGCTCCCATTCTGCTTGCTCTGGTGGAGATATTGCACATTACTAAGTTGCATGTTGTCACGGCCTCAGTGCAATTTAGTGTGTGTGATATTTTCACATGAGTGCATGCACACGGGTATGGCTCTTGCTTGTGGAATCATAGCTTTTCAGTGCTGGTGGGTGGAAGTCTTGATGAATTAGATGGGAGGATGTATGTACTGTGAGATTTTTGTTAAAAAGTGAACATGGTTCCCACCTCTACCCCCTAGTTTTGGAGAATTAAAAGTATTTTGGTTAAAAAAAGTCAGTGTCAATAATTTAGTAAGTCAGTGTTCCCATTTTTGACTTTGAGCGCATTAATATTCATTGGAAAGAAATTCTCATGGAATTAAGATTATAAACAATCTTTGTTTAAATTAAAATATGTAAGGAAGAGTTTAAAGATGTTAGAAAATAAAATTTCATTTATTTGAAGAGCTATTTCTCCTAACACTGGAATAGAGAGACAGAATCTCTTTTCCATAGTTGGGAAAATTAAATAAGCTAGAGTTCTTAAATAATAACCAAGTTGGTAAATATAATGCCTATTTAACCTGCTTGATTAAAGATCAGTCTGATAAACTTAAACTTTTATTTCTTTAAGTTTCCAAGGAAAATGACCTTAAAAACTTTGTCTTACATTTTATTTCTCACTGTATTTCTTTAAAAACTGCTAAATTCATTTTAATAGGCTTATAATGGAACTGGTGTTGAGATACAAATGTTTGGTGTTTGCCTATATAATTGAATCAACCCCTTGTTAATTTTTTAGTTAGCATTAGAGTAAGCATCTATGATGACTAGACCTTGTGAAAGACACAAACCCATGTGTTAATGAGATAAAAATATTGAATTACTATTACTACTGCCAGGGTCTGTCAGTAGGTGATGTAATGTGATGCCACTGTCGTACACTTGTGTGTGTGACTCCCTGTCTCCAGTGGGGACAGAAGGCTTCCACGTTAGCGGCTCCTCCTGGTGCCCCTCAGCAGCCCTGTAGGTCTGCTTCGACAGCACTCCTGTTCCCTCTGGACTGGGAAATCCAGTGTCCACCAGTACATTTTACTGTGGAGCTGGGTCTCTGGGACAGACCAGCCAGGAGAGGGAAGGAGATGTAATTTCTCAAGAGAGGTTAGGTAGTAATCAAGGGAGCTGGGGAATATACTTCTCCTGATTGGTCACTTTATACAGTAGTCACCCTCAGTTTTGCTTTCTGTGGTTTCAGTTACTTATGGTAAACTGGGGTCCAGAAATATTAAATGAAAAATTCTAGACATAAACAATTCATAAGTTTTAAATTGTGTGTTGTTCTGTGTAGTAATGATGAAATTTCGTGCTATCTCGCTTCTTCCCACCCAGGATGTGAAACATCTCTTTGTCTAGCATATCCATGCTGTATACACTCCTGCCATTAGTCGCTTAGTAGCCTTATTGGTTATTAGATCAACTCTTGGGGTATTATAGTGCTTGTGTTCAAGTAACCCTTATTTTACTTAATAATGGCCCCAAAGTGCAGGAGTAGTGATGCTGCCAAAGAGAAGTTGTAAAGTGCTTCCTTTAAGTGAAAAGGTAGGCACATATAGGAAAAAGCATAGTATATATAGAGTTCGGTACTCTCCGTGATTTCAGGCATCCAGTGGGGGTCTTGGAACATACGCCACACGGGTAAGGGGGCAGTGCCGTAGGCTGTGTCTCTGGAAGCTGGCTGCCTCCTTCAGGAGCTCACCTATTTGAAGCACAGTGTATTCTAGGGCAGGTTGAGTACTGATAAGTAACATAGCTGTTGTTTCCTGGGGGATTGATAGTCAGATAGTCTTTCTATTTGACCTTTAGAAAGAAAAGAGGGCAGAACCAGTGTAAGGAAATATTAGTAGTAGGAAGAATTTTATTTTGGACTTTTTA